GCCACGCGATAACCACTCCGCCATAGTGCCTTTCATGTCGACCCGTCGCGCTCATGCTAACATACATCTTTGCAATTTTTTCATAAAATTTGTTGCGGAGGTGGTCCACACACGGGCGACTGCGAAGCACGACTTCGAGCATGCTGATGGACGCTGAAGGATATGATTTCACAGCATGCGTGTGTCTATGAACGGAACGAGAGTCGTTCTACGATTCGGTTGGAGCGTGCGGCGTCCGTTGATTGGGTGTGCGGTTGGCGGTTGCGAGGAGCTGTAGCAGGAGGTTTTCCATCCTTTTGCCACGCGCCTCCATATCCTGCACCCTGCGTGCGATCGTGCGTAGCTCTGCATCAAAGCTGTCGCCTCCGTACGACGTTTCGATGCGCTCTGCAGCTGTGTCTTCGCTCAGTGCAGCAACGGCTGCTGCAGTGGCAGCGTCAAATTCGGTCGTACGCTGACGACGCTTTTGCTCCTGTCGGCTACGGTCGGGACTGGAGTCGCGAGAAACGTCTGGCGCACGACGTCCTGTCCGTGATCGAGATCGTGAAGGACCGACTTTCGCAGGGCCTTCGTCGAGCTCGCTAGGATCGAGCACGCGATTGAACAGCTTGGCTAGGGGAGAGCTCAACGAGCCCAGCCCACGTGGCTCGTGTCCGCGCCGCAGCAGTTGCACGCTCCGACTCACGCCTTGTTCGCGTGGACGGCGCGAGCATGTGCTGCCTGCAAACGAGGTCTGTGTCGTGCTGCGTGGAAGCGGATCCTGTGATGGCGCAGCGAGTGCCTCTCCGATCGACCGCCCTTCTTGGTCAGGTTGAGGCGTCAACCGGCGCTCGAGCTGGGCCGCAGCCCGCTCCTCCCAGCTCCCATTCGCCTTGACTGCCAGACTTGCCCCGCCATCACTGTGCTTCGCCTTCTTGACGGCAGCGTCAACAACTTCATCGGCCTCGCCTTCCGCATCGGCTTCGTCGCCCGATCGCGCCTCGTCGGCAGCCGCTGCCCACTCGTCCTTGTCCTGCTCCATCGGGAAGTCAAACGCAGCCTCGATGACGTCTGCTGTGGAATGGTCGAGTCCCGAGCTAAAGATGGGCAGGCGACTGAGGATGCTCTTGCCCTTCTCCGCCGTGAGGCTGATGCCCTGACCAAACACGTTGAGCTCGCAAAAGTGGATAAAGAGCAGGATGTGGAAGCTGGTGAGGCGGATGAGAAACACGTTGATCTTGTGCAGCCAGCGCGGCGACACGACGAAGCTGAGCGGCATCACAATGGCGACAGCGAGCAGATTCAGCGGCGGCTGGTAGGAAAAGATGGCATCGGTGGTGATGCCGGACATGGTCTTGCAGGCGAACTGGAACATGGCCTCCTCGTTGGCGTTCATGGCCACTACCTGGAACGTGTTGCTGAGCAGCGAGATGAGCACGGTAAGCAGCAGCGTATTGCTCATGATCGTATAGATGATCATCAGCGGCGGACCGAATTCGAGCGAGAAGCTCTTGGCCTCGTCAAAGCCGAGATAGGAGCTGCCGAACCACACCTTGAGCATGAGCCATAGCACCGCCTTGAACGTCCACCTCTCCTCGGATGCGAGCGAGTAGAATGCGTATGCAAAGCCCGAGAAGCAGACCATGGCGAGCACGGTGAAGAAGGCAAAGTCCGAGAGCATCGCCTTGAGGCTGAGCAGCACCACGTTGTCCTGCACCAGCGAGCTGGCTACGCGCGGGCACAGCACCACCGCACCAATCGCAAGACAGTCGAAGCTCAGATCGCTGCGTCCGGGCAAGCCGTGCCGTAGCGCCGAGATGCGCAGCCCGAACCAGCAGAACGAGATGATGCAGAAGCTGGCGTCGATGAGGTTGTAGAGCGAGCCGAGGTAGTACGAGAGGCCGTGCTCCTGCAGCTGTGCCAGCTCGTCGACCGCAAAGCCAAGCAGCCAGATGGAGAAGAGCGTCTCCTGCACCGTCCAGGTCGGGCTGCCCTTCTGTGCGAGAGCAGCGACGTAGAGGACGAGGATGACGACAAAGGTGACGAACTCGAGCTTGCTGCGGATCGAGGGCACGCGCAGGCGCAGGTGGTTGAGCAGCGGCGCCTTGGTCGGGTCGTAGATGCTCAGCGGCCGCTTCTTGTAGCTGTCGTTGAGGATGGCGTGCGAAGCCTGGACGGGCGAGAGCACTACCTTGCCGTTCCAGATGCCGTCGATACAGCGCTGGCACAGCGGCGTGGAGATGAAGCGTTTTGCCGACGAGGCGATGGCGAGCTCGAGCGTGTTCGAGTACTGCTTGGGCGGCAGACCGTGCGAGACAATGTCGTCAAAGTCGACGTGCGACGACGAGAGTCGGAGCTCCTTGAGCTCAGCATAAGTCGCCCCAGCGAGCGGGTGAAAGCTGGCCGTGAGCGAAGTGACGAGCTCGAGACCGTCGTTGGAAAAGGTGCGGAGCAGCTTCATTGCGAGGAGCTCGCAGAGCGCCGAGCGGGTGTTGTTGACCGACTGAAACGCCAGATCGCGCGTGGCTTCGCGCTGAAAGTAGATGCGGTTGAGCATGAGGCAGTACAGGATGGCGATGGATCGAAAGTTGCTGTATTTGATCGCCAGCGGTCTGACGAGCGAGAAGTTGAGATCGACCGACGTGAGCTCTTCCCAGCTGAGGTGGGTATCGATGGTCTTGCGCAGGTCGGCGCGAATGAGGTGGATGAGGTGAAAGACATCCTGGCGCTCCACGACTTTTATCAAGTTTACGCCATCCTCGCCCTCGGACTCGAGCAGACGGTCGATCTCGTGTGCCGAGGCCTCGGTGGTACGGCGCGCATTGCTGGAGGTGCGAATATGAGCACCGGATCGCGGTAGTTGGAGCGTGCCTGCGCTGTACGGATGGCTGGAGGAGGCGGCACCGAGGTGCTGCTCGGTCGAGCTGATGGAGAAGGCCGAGCTGCGGGGCGATGTGGAGTCGAGCAGGTGCGGGTGGATGGGATCTTCCGGCCGCGGCTGGTCGGGCAGATGGCGAAGCGAGACATGGCGCTTGTGCTGGCTGCGACCGCCGCGCAGCGAGTTGGCGGATGCGCGCTGCGAGACCGCCTTGGACATAGTGGCCAGAAGCGATCGACACAAACGATCGACGTCGGGAGTGAACGAGCCCCGAGCCGCCGGTGGGAGCAGGTTTGCGCTTCCACTGAGCGGACGGCTGCAGGCGGTGCGGATCTGTGCATGCGTGTGTGGGCGTGTGGGCGTGTGGGTGTTGTGTGGGTGCCTTGAATTTGTTCTTGTTTTTTTGGCGAGTTTCTGCCTCCACTTTCCAGCAGAGTGTGGCTCAGACAGCAGATCCGAGTTGCGCGTGTTGGTGTTTTTGGGAAAAGTGGGCCTTGCCAGCAGCGCTGTCTCGAGCTGTCACAACGCCGCACGCATGGCAGCAAATCACGCCCGGACCGGCCGCCGAGTCCCGCGATTTTTAGACTCGACGGTGAGGCGCCGGTCCATCAGCTGTCGAGAGTGCAACACAGCTCGCTTCTCTTGGCGCCCCGTGCATCGTCGTCGTAGAGACCCTTTCACCACCATCGCCAACTCGTCTACACCCTAGCGCTGATCCTGCTAGGCCAGTGCGCGTGTGGAACAAGCCTTCATCGTCACAGGCACCGCAACTTCAAGTCTCCAGCTCGAGAGCCGACCATGCTGCGATTGTAGTCGTGCACCCATCGTCGTCTTCTTGCCCCGTCATTGCTCTGCATCTGGCTCGCTCGCTGCTCCGCCAAAGGCCCAGCACCAATCGCCATCATGTCGCGCCTCTACCTTCGGCTGCCCAACCTGCCGTCGTTCCACCATGCCATCACCTCGTTCCTCGGGTTCATGGATCTCAAGATCGGCGCTACCATCCTCACCCTCTTCGCGCTCTTCAACAAGACCGCCGGCATCTACGGCATCCTTGCCGTCTTCCAGGGCGGCACCTTCTCCCAAGTCGCGCTCTACCTCTACTCAATAGCCACGATCGTCATCTTCCTCTGGGGCCTCAAGGGCATCTCGGACGAGGATGCGCAGCACGTGCTCACCTACGCACACCTCTTCACCGCCGACCACATGATCTCGACGTTTTGGACGCTCCTCTTCACCTTCAACTGGTTCTACTTTACGCCTCACGATGGCCGTCCCAGCGCCAACCAGTCGTCGCACCAGACGGGGCTCATGGACCTCATCGAGTCCATCGAGGCGCAGTACAGGACGCCAGAGCAGATGGCGCAGCTCCACCACGACAAGCTCACGCCAGAGCAGCGCGTCAGCAGCGCGCAGCGCATCTGGAAGGAGGAGAAGGACTTCTCCGCCGGCGTGCTCACCCTCGGCTGGATCGTCAAGCTCTACTTTGCCCTCGTCCTCTACTCGTACGCGCTCCACCTCCGCCACGGCACCTACCGTACCCTGCCCCTCTCCAAGGCCTCGGCAGCTTCGGCTACGCAGCGCTCGGGTGCCGGCCGCTCCGAGTACCGCTATCATCCTGTTGTTGGCGACGACGAGCTCGAGAGCTGGAGCGACGACGATGCCGACGCCGACGCTCAGTCCAACCGCAAAGCAGCCGAATCTACAGGCGCTGCTGCATCGAATCCACAGGCCGGTACAAGCACCGGCGGTGCGAGGGCCGTCATGGACCGTCTTGCCGCTTGATGCGGCCGCCTCATCCCGGACAATGTGCAGATGTCACCCCCACTCCACTTCACTTTGCTCCCACTCACGTTACAGTAATAGGAAGCTGACCAGCCTCGGAACATTGGCTAGACACTTGACACGCACCCAAGCGCACTGTGATGACCCGGTAATTCGCTTGGTTCCGGCTTCAACTTCGGTTTCGGCTGTCCGAGCGGTCCGACACGATCCCGGCTTGCTCTCGGCGGCCTTGCTGAGCGTAGAGTGTTGCCCGAGCAATGCATTCTGGAAGGGCGGACACAGTGCGGTGAAGGCGGTCCGGTCCGCATCGGTCGCAAGCCGATGAGGGGATGCATGGCTTGCCGATTTTGAAAATCGGGCCTCGGCCGAGGCTTGCACACGCTGTCACGTGAGCTGATGCTTGAATTCTGCCCAAGGCGGTATGCGAGCGTTGAAATTGGGATTCGGAGCCTGCCCAAAGCGACACCCTGGCTCGCGCAGGAAGCACACAGCGCTCGCTGCCCAGTCGAGGGCCTGCGTGGGCTTGGAACAGAGTGGCGCTGCAACCTCACTTTCTGGCCCGCCAAGAACTCAGGCAGCACAGCGCAGTGCCTCGACCGCTGTGGCACGAGAGTGGGCTGCAATGCCAAATCTTCGAGGTTGGAAAGGACAGACCAGCGCGCCCCGAGAGTCCGAGCTGAACGGACGAGAGAGAGAGTGGCTCTGCAACGCTGTTTTGTGGGACCTAGTCGGGTTCGCCGATTCGAGGCTGCGAAGCCCAGTCGGGGGTGGTCATCGTCTTGGGACGCTTGCTCCTCCGACTTTCCATCTGCAACCACCAACCGTCACCACCCCGTTTCGTTATACTTCAAGATGGTCTCCTCGTCGCGTCGCGTCCAGCGCAAGGCTCACTTCGATGCCCCCGCTCACATCCGCCGAAAGATCATGTCGGCCTCCCTTAACAAGGAGCTCCGATCCGAGCACGGCGTAAGTATGCCACTTTCAACCGGCTGCACCCAACATCGATGCCCCTCGACACTACACACGTGATGCAACCGACACGATCCGTACGACGCATTCTATTCGCAGCCCACCCTTGCACGGCACCAGCATGAGCAGATCGACCACTCGATCCACCGTTCGACAATGATCAACACAGCAGAGCTGGAAGCATATGCAGGACAGATAGTCGGGAGGAGACATTGCGATCAGTTGCGGAAGCGGAGGAGACCCTATTGGCCGTCGGCCATGACACGCGTGATGGCGCAGCAGATGATGCCAGGAACATCTGCATGGATCTACGATGGCGTGGGAGAAGCGCTCGGCCGTCAGGAGACGCAAGGGAGATGGCTTTGTTCTCGTTCGTGGAGGCCGCAGAGTCGTCCACATTCGTTCCAGTCCACTGCATCGACCATTCTCGATCATCCAGTATCCCGACAAGCTCCAGATGTCTGAACCGTCGCACTGCGTTCTGTCTCGGATCGTACTTGGCCCGGCTAGTACAAGCAATGCCGGCGGCAGGGCTCTGGAGGGTCGTGCGGTCAATTCACATTGCGCTTCACGTCTCTTGCCAGCCGGTCGTTCGAGCAGCCACATGGTCAGGGGTAGGAATATGCAGCACAGGACGACACACCGCTACAAAGACTAGATGGCGCAGTGCTTGGCGGTCGTTTGTTTGGAAGTTTTCTCCAGCAAGGACTGTGCGCGACGTCGATCTCGATGCTGCGTCGACTCGTTCCGTGCACCACGACTTTGCCGCGACACCTAGACCGACGACAGGCGGCGCTACGCCGACCAACACGCATCCCAGCAGTTCTACTTTCGGCGGCATCGATGTTGGATGCGCCCCGTGCAGAATTCGGTCCAGAGCCTGCTGCTAACCTGTTCTACTTTGTTTCGCACATGCAGATCCGCTCGCTTCCCGTTCGCAAGGACGACGAGGTTCTGATCGTCCGCGGCTCGCAGAAGGGCGCCGAGGGCAAGGTCACCCAGGTGTACCGCAAGAAGTGGGTGATCAACATCGAGCGCATCCACCGCGAGAAGGCCAACGGTGCCACCATCCCCCACGGCATCCACCCCTCGAACGTCGTCATCACCAAGCTGAAGCTCGACGAGGACCGCAAGAAGATCATTGCACGCAAGTCGGGCGCCAAGAAGGAGGAGGACGTCGAGATGAAGGACAACTAAAGGCAAGGCTTTGATCTAGTCTTGTTCCCGTGTTGTGTCTTCTCTCGTTCTTTCCTTTCTGCGCACCTTGTATTGGCATCCACCCTTTCATTGTCCACCACAACTCCACCTCTGATGTATCTGCTGCAGGCCTCTCGGGCTTGAGCAGGTGTGCCGTGGTGGTCAAAAGGTCTCCTTGGCGACGCTGCTATCTGCCATCGCTTTGCACACTGTTCTCTCTTTCCCTACGCATTCTCCCCCATTCATGACCAGGTGGGATCCTTTATCGGCCGACGTGACGCAAGCGATGCTGGGCCGTTGATCTGGCTGCTTCGGTCGTGGCATTGTTGTGCGTCGTCGGTTGGGCGCACCTTGGTCTGGGTTTCGACCCACACACGCCGCATGCACACCCCGCACGCACCCTACACATCTATCTAGCCAGGTGGCAACGCACCCACAGCCGTGCGCTGCTTCACACCCCAAAAGAATCCCAACACTACTGTGATCCTATGCTTTGCCTTGTGATGCCCCGTTGCGCTTTTGTGTGGTCATCAAAGTGAGAGCGAGTGGTCGCTTTGCAACGTTTCGGTCGCGATTTCGGAGCCTCCTTTTTTATCCATTATTCGATTCATCGCGTAGAAGAGGGTCTTGGGAAGAACAGGGCCCAGTCCGAATTAAAGCAGACGGGAGCGAGCCGGCGAAGTTGATTCGAACGTGTTAAAGTTCAGCTGCTAGGATGGGGGCGGGCTGTCGAAAGCCGAAGAGGCAAGCTCGTCATTTTGCGCATGCGCCACGAAAAATTCGCACGAGGCGGGGTCTGCTGACCGGACCGATCCAATCGCAGGCTCACAAAAGAGAGCTCAAGCCTCACGAGCACGGCTCTTGCGACCCGTCGACGCAACGCAGAGCAGTGACAATCAAAGCCAGCAGACACCAGGAGCAGCCGGTGTGAGTGGGGCCGGAATGCGCCCGCCGCAGTCGCAGCCAATTTGCGTTTGCGACCCATCGGCCAAATTGACCACGTCACAAAGTCACACCCGTCACAATTTCATTCCCTAGCTGGGCGATGGTGCCATCGAGTCTTGAGCTTGCGAATCCGAGACGAAACGCACGTCTGGTTCGCGTCTCGCTTCTCAGCTGAGCCCCCCTCCATTGCTGAGCCTCTGGAGCACTCGACCTTTGCTCAGCATGGTCGGGGCTGTCTCAGAGCTGATCGGCTCGACTTGACTTGGTGGAGTTGCTCTAGGCAGGTGTGACAGCGGTGCCGGGCAAGCGAGTCAGCTGCCACGGCTCAGCTGTTGTTGGAAGCGGTTCGGATTTTGGCTCGCTCTGCGGCACTGCCGAAGTCGGATTTTCGGTGGCGCCGAGTCGTTCCCACACTCTTCTTTCTTTGCTTGGCAGCCCAGCAGTGCAGCGCAGCACACAAGGCACAGCGCCGATTCGGCTCGGCCGCTCCCACGCTCCCACGCTCGCCTGCCTGGCTTGCCCTTGCCCTCGCGCTCGCACGCAAGCCAGCCTCGGTCGCTCGCACATCATCTTCGCCATCCTCCTCCACCGTCTGCCTTTCTTTGTTCCCCACCCTTTCCTTCACTCTCCTTCGCAGCGGACCCTCAACTGGCCTGCACATACGCGAGCAAGACCCTGCCTCTTCGATCTGCACCCGCAATAACGCCATCCTTTCGTGCTGCTGCGCAGATCGCCCAAGCACCACATCGGTTCGCTTCGACACGCTCTTCTGGCCTGCTTTCCACGTTCCAACAACGCAAGCAGCTCTGGGGTGTTTGCTTCACCTTAGCCCGCCGGCATACAGTCCATCGCCTCGCTAGTGTGCATTCCCACGCACCAGATCGCATCGGTGCAGCTCGCCGCAGTCTCTAGCCTCGGAACGGACGCTTCCGCCGCTGCGCACTTCAGCTCGAGCAACGCTCAGTCTCGCACTGCCATGCAATCGCTGCTGCGCACATAGCGGCTGAGCTCGAATCCCATCAAATCTCCCCGCATCATCGGCACCGCCTCGGCTCGCTCGTAGGCCATAAGTCCGAGCCTGCAGCAGGACGCATTCGCCAAAAAAAAAGGGCAAGATGGTCTCTTTCCAGGATCCGTCCTCCTCGTCCTCCTCCTCCACAACATCCACCTCGTTCTCCCAATCCCAGACCAATCATCTCGTCCAACAGCATCATCTCCACTACCATAATAGTGCGGACACACTGGCTGTCGCTTCGTCCTCTCGCCATACCCTGGACTACGACCAACCGCAATCCGCCGCGGCCTCGTCGCTGCCTCGACCCAGACACGACCTCGCTTCCACACCGTGTGCATCTACTAGCAGGCGGCGTGGCTCTGCGGTGTCGCCTCCATCGTCTCCCGCACAGTCCCCGCGCAGCGACTACGACGACGACGACCACCCGGGGTCAGACTCGCTCAAGGGCAGCCAGTCCCTCCACCACTCTCATAGATCCGATCACCCCACCACAACAGCCATGGCTACCCTCTCGGTCCACACGCCTCCCGCTGTGCATCAGCCCGACCCCATGCTCTTTGCACGCGCTACCAACAGCCCGCTGCAAAAGTCGATCGCTTCGCTTCGAGCCGCCTCGCCTTCGCCTCCTCCTCTGGCGGCAGCCCCTTATACCCAACCTCCAGTCACCTCGTCCCTGGCAAACGTCACGGCGGGCGATGGCTGGGCCATCATACCCAAGAGTGCGACTGCGCAACCTTCTGCCACAATGACAATGCAGGCCCCATCACCCGCCACCTCTTCTGCCACAGCAGCACAGCAATCCGCTGCATCGGGCCTTCTCGGTCTCAGCCAAGCCGCATATGCGAGCGCCGCCGCCGACCTCTCGAATCGACGATGCGGTCCCGCCGACGCCTCCACCAACTTCGACGTGCCCTTTGGCGAGCGAGCTTCACCCGCCATCATCTCGCTCTCCCAGCGCGGCGCGAGACCTCTCAGTCGCAGCGGCACCCGTCCGCCCAGCCCGCTCACCCTCTCGCCCGCCATGCAGAGCGAGGCGCTCAACCCGTCCGGAGCACACCGCGGCGGTCTACGTGGCTCCGACGAGGATGTCGAGATCGCCGACAAGGACGTTCCCATGAACACAGACGAAGACAGTTGCACTTCCACCGGTGCCACGCCGCTCGTACCTCCGGCAACGCGCAAGCTGTGCGTCAGGCACCAACGCATGGCCGACGAGGGCACTACCGCCCGTCTTCAGAAGGTAAGTTCTAGAACGCAGTCCCGCCCTGGTCTTCTCTCCCCTCTGGTCTCCTTCCCTCTCTCTTTCTTCGCATCTTTTGGCACGAGCTCAGATAGCCGTCCGAAGCGATGCAGGTCAGGCAGCATCGTGTCGCCCACTGTCTCCTCGCGGACGCTCGACGCTGCACAGCGATCATCGGGATTCGTCTCGGTGCTCGTGACCCTTGATCATGCTATAACGAAACACTCTGTTTGAAGTCTCGATCTGCCTTATAGGTCGTGCGCTATAAGTGATGTGGTACATTCCCAAACCTCCGAACTCGGCTTTTCTCTCCCTTTCCGTTTCAACATTTGCAAGAAGAAAAGGCCAGTTTGCTGACTCCAAGCTATGTCTTCTCCTGCATCTTGGATCGCCTCAGTCGATCGAGAGTCTGCCTCTGTCCGATCAGACCGCCGTCAACACGGTGTGGTCGCTCTTCTCGTCCTCGTCGCACTCCCGCAGAGCTCTCATCCTGCAGGGCATCCTCACCATGTGCTGCTTCAGCCAGCTCTCGCTTCTCTCCTCGGAGCTCGCGCTGGCCATCCGCATCGACCCCTTCTCGCTCTTCCCGCGCGAGGTCTCGCTCAAGGTGCTCGGTCACCTCGACGCCATCAGCCTCGGCCGCGCCGCACAGGTGAGCCGCTCGTGGAAGCAGCTGGCCGACGACGATCTGCTCTGGCGCAACATGTGCGAGCAGCACATCGAACGCAAGTGCGAAAAGTGCGGCTGGGGCCTGCCGCTCCTCAGCGAGCGTAGACGCCGAGCTCCGGGCCCCGCCGTCCAGCTCGGCACGCCCGAGTCGCGCGATCTGAGCTCCGACGGCTCCGGAGCCACCTCGTCTACAACACCGGGCACGCTCAAACGCACCATCACCGCCGCCGCCAACGCCGCTGCGCTCGAGAAGCAGTCGCGATCGCGCGCATCCAGCCCCACGCCCTCGTCGTCCAGTCGAGCACACTCACGCTCCGTATCGGGCCAGCGCGACCTGCAGATGCGCGATCGCGACGCGCCGCCGCTCAAGAAGCAGCGCAGCGGCCTCAACGGCGAGGCTACGCCGTGCTCGTCGACGGGCACAGTTCCCAAGACGCGTCCGTGGAAGTCGGTCTACTGCGAGCGCCTGGCCATCGAGCGCAACTGGCGTCGCGGCAGGTTCACTTCGCGCACCCTCGCCGGTCACACGGACGGCATCATGTGTCTGCAGTTCAACGAGAACCTCGCGCATCCCGCCTTCCCGGTGGTCATCACCGGCAGCTACGACCGCACCGCCCGCATCTGGAATCTCGAGACGGGCGAGATGCTGCGTGTGCTCGAGGGCCACACGCGCGGTGTGCGGTGTCTGCAGTTCGACGAGGCCAAGCTGATCACTGGCTCGATGGATCGCACGCTCAAGATCTGGAACTGGCGCACGGGCGCGCTCATGAGGACGCTCGAGGGCCACACCGAAGGCATCGTCTGTCTCCACTTTAATGAGGACACGCTCGCCAGCGGCAGTGCCGACAGCAACATCAAGATCTGGAACTTCCGCACGGGCGAGTGCTACACGCTGCGAGGGCATCGTGATTGGGTCAACGCCGTCACGCTTTGGACGGGTCCGGCTGCCAAGAAGCGCCAGCAGCGGCTGCGCGAGGCGCTGCGCGAAGGACGCCCTGCCGCCTCGATCAAGGACGAGGACCCGCGCGCCGCTGGCACGTTCCTCTTCTCGGCCTCGGACGACGGCTCGATCCGGCTGTGGGACCTCGGCCTGCGCGAGTGCCTGCTGACCTTCGAGGGCCACGTCGGCCAGGTGCAGAGCCTCAAGCTCGTCATGATGGACGACGAGGCGGTGCGCAAGCTCGTCGGCGGCGCTGCTGGCGGTGTGGGCGCCGAGGGCCCCCAGGCTCAGCGCAACGGTGCGTCTCGTCGCGGCTC